GTCACCACCCAACACTCCTGCACTGTTGGCAATAGGACCCTGATTAGTATTTCCTTCTTAGGCATCATCAGTAGCTTATTGTTTGCTGACTGTCAGTTCCCCTCACCCCGCCTCCCAGGTGTAGACTGTGAAAACCTACTGTCTCCCTCACTGCTGTATCAACAGACAAGGCACAGGGTAGGTGCTTAAGATTTGTTAAATTAATAAATAGGTGACTGGGCCCGCCTTTGTGGGTTTCACATTTAAACAAGTGGGTATGCTGAAGGAGCTGTGAGAACACCCCTTGCCCCATAACCCGCCCGACCCTACCCCCCAGCTGAGACTGCCCAAGGAAAGCATCAAGTTGGTGTCAATCTCAGATTCCCCTGGGGACCAAGGAACTTAACTGCAATCGGTACAGTGGGGAGTTACCAGTATTCTCTTCCTCCATGGAGCATCAATGCTTAAGGTTACGTTCAAACGCAGGCCTGCCCCTTGCCCCGCAGGAAAAATCGTCTGAGTACAAAGAAGCCATGAGGGGAAGTCCTCAATGGTTTATCACCTGCAGCCACAGAATAAGACTTACAGGCAACTTCTTAGGGTTTAACTTGGAGCTGTCTAAAGAAACGGAAGACAAGTCATGACAGCAGAGCAAACAGTGGGCTTATGGGGAGCGGCCGGACAACCAGGAGTGACGCTTGGTCTTTCTGCCGCATTCAATACAGGCAGGTCCTCCTGAATTACTAGCTTTTTGTAAATGGAGATTTGGACACATGAGGCAGTGTGAAGGATAATGATTCCCTGAAGGAAAATGTATACAGGCATAGGAAACTCACAAACTCCCAGCTGCCTAGTAGTGCAAGGGGGCAGTGGTGGTTCAGGGGTAGGATTCCTGCCTTCCACGTGGAAGACCTATGCTCAGTTCCTGGCCAATGTACCTCATGTTCAGCCACCTCCCAACTGTCAGTGAGGTTGTGTGTTGCTATGATGCTGAACAGGCTTCAGTGGCACTTCCAGACTAACATGGACTAGGAAGAAAGGTCTGGCAATCTACTGCAAAAATCAGCCAATGAAAACCCTATGGATCCCAATACTCTGAGCTGCAACCAGTCATGGGGATGGTGCAGGATGGGACCACTCGACAGTGGCTAACAAACACTACGTGCAAGGTGCCAAACAGCTCTCGGAGTTGTTTTGGAATTTCAGGGAGAGTCCACAGGAGGGCTGGCTGCTGAGAGCTCTCTCTGCCCTAATCACAGATACACAGGCAAACAAGGGTGATCCATGTGCTAGGGTCTTCAGAGAAGCCTATGGAAGCCACTGTGGGAGAAAGAGAAGATGAAGTGAGGAAATGAAGGGAGCCAGGCAAGAGGACTGTAATTGTTAGAACCTGAGGCCCCAAAGGAGGAGGGATCAGGAAAGAGAGCCTGGAGAGGTCAAAAAGGGAGGATCATGAGATCCCTGGGGAAGAGGCCTGTGGGAACTCTCCCTGGGAGGAAGTCCTGACTGACTATGGGAGAGTATTCAGCTTTATAAATGGAAATGGAGGCCGCGAAGAGGTGCTGCAAATGTTCTACTCTTTCCCAATAATAAATAGTTGAGAAATCAATACAGCACATTCAGATTTCACCCAGGGTGGAGCAGGGTGTGGGCAATAGTACAAAGAAAATGCCAACGTGGGAGGAGACCAGAAAGGCTACAACAACAGAGCTGCTCCACTTCAACCTTAGGTGGAGTGAGGCGATCCCCTCTCTTGTTCTAGGACCAAAGCTAGAGAGATGTGTTACATTTCGTCACCTACAATGCTCAGACACATGGAGTCAAGTAGAATTCTCTACTTTCGCCTGTGTGGGCCCCCTTCCTATACTCCAAGAGATTTGGAGTGGATGGGACAAGGGGTAAGCCCAGCCTCCCTCTCTTCCCTCTCATGCCCCCAACCCAATCACTTCCAAAAATATCAAATATTTTCTTCCATAAATAATTGCAATAGGATGCCGTAGCTTTTCTCAAACAAACAATAGTCTGATTATGCCCTGTTTGCCATGGGCCCAGCCCAGAGCACACAAAGACCTGCTTTCACACACGGCCTCTCCAGGATGGGTACGTTGTCCGCTCCACGTCTCCAACAACTTCACTGCAGCAATGCATTAGGAAGGGAGAGATGGGAAGAGGCTGTCACCACAAGGGAAAGGAACAACTCCCTAAAGAGAACAACCATTGTTCCCCGAGTTTTCTGCTGCCTTTCAACCTCACAAAGAAAGTTCTTCTTCCACCAGAAGGACATTTGCTCAAAAACCCAAATTACACAATTTTATACTGGTGATTTCTTTTAAACATTTTATTAACTTTCAAGGAGTCCCTGAATGGTGTAAATGATCACCGTGCTTGGCTGCTAACCAAAAGGTTGCCGGTTTGAGTCCACCCACAGGTGCCTCAGAAGAAAGACCTGATGATCTACTTCCAAAAAATCAGCCATTGAAAACTACGGAGCACAGTTCTACTCTGATACACATGGGGTCATCATGAGTCAGAATCAACTCAGAGGCAACTAGGTCTGGGTATTAACTTTCAAATGTGATTTTAAATTGTAATAATTAACTTTTTAAAAAAGTTCCTGCTTCTATATCTTATATCTTTATGCTAGTTACAGAATTAAGTAGAGTTAAAATGAATGTATATACTTCTGTACGACCAGTTTTTTTTTTTTCTGGTAAAAAACATCTGAAGGATAAACTCATCACTTCAGAGCTGCTATTTGGAAAACACATCCTTTTGTGCTTGAAAATATAAAGCATTAAGTTTCTTTTCAGAATTTAAGTTTGATTTTCCTCCACAGGTACATGAAAACACCTCAGCCAGAAATGTCCTTGTTTGCCAGTTATAACAGCCCCGTTAAGGAAGTTAAGCCTTCTTTGTATTTCTAATAATTCAGAATGGCCATTCTCCCAGTCAGAAGCCACTTACATTAGATACAGAAAGATCCCCCTCCCACGGCCTCCGCCATTTTATGGTCTTCCATTTTACATCCCTTTTACTCTTACAATTTTGTTTGTTAGAAGGCATACAAAGTCAAATGAAATGGAGTACTAATGGCCAAGATACTAATCAGAAAGCCTCTGAAAGCCATTTTCAGAGTATATATATTTTTGTTTTTAAAACCATATAAACAAACCATATAAAGCAATAGAGACCAGTGTTACATTGGGCATAAAAAGGACCTCTGGCTGCATGGTAAAGTGATTTACCATGGTAAAGTGTTGCTCGGAAGTGATTTATCATTCATGACAGTAAAAGTAACTTAGCCAAAATGGATTTTAAAGTTGAATCTTAGTTTCTTGACAGGATCTAGTGAGGCAAGCAATCCACAATCATGGGCTTCGTTTGTTATGAAGCTCAGTAGGAGACACTGGTTTATTCACCAACTCCCATAGTACAGTTATCTTGGGATTTAGAAAACATTCGAGAGATGCTTTTGCATTTGCTTGGGCTTCAGCACTGAAAGTGAAAAGCATAAACTATGGTAGACAGGGAGCCCTGGTGGCACAGTAGTTAAGATCTCGGCTGCTAACCAAAAGGTCACCAGTTCGAATCCACTAGCTACTCCTTGGAAACCCTATGGGGCAATTCTACTCTGTCCTATAGGGTCTACGAGTCGGAACTGACTCGACAGCAATGAGTTTTGGATATGGTAGACAGAATCTCTATTTTGGGCCTTTGTTCCAATGGATTGAGCTATGCTGTTAAAATTCATTGTAATTTTCAAAATACGGAGCCATAATGATGCAAGGGGTTCATGTATCTTCAACCCACTAAAAATGAGAAGACAATTCCTGGTACTCAGGCTCATCTACACCTTTTCTAAAGTCTCAGAGCTCAGTCATAAGGGGCCACTCTACAGCCGGTAAAGTTCCCTTAACCTCATTAGCTTCTCAGTATCTCAAAGATAGGGCAAAGTCAGTTAGGTCGAAACTTCCATGGCTCCAGGTAGTAACCCTCACCCAAGTCAAGCGGGATGATGAGAACATCTGAATGTTAGTTGCCATTGTGTCATCTTCAACTCATGGTGACCTTATGTGTAGCAGAATGAAGCAATGCCTGGTCCTGCACCACCCTCATATTGTTGGTATGTTTGAGCCCACTGTGGCAGCTATTGCATCAACCCATCTCATTGAGGGTTTCCCCTTGTTTTGCTGACCCTCTACTTTACAAACCATGATGTCCTTTTCTAGCAATTGGTCTTTCCTGATGATGTATCCAAAGCAAGCAAGATGAGGTCTCACCATCCTCACTTCTAAGGAGCAGTATAGCTGTACTTCCTCCAAAACTGATTTGTTGTTCTTTTGGAAGTCCACGACGTACTCAAATATTCTTCACCAACACCACCACTCAAATATGACAATTGTTCTTTGGTCTTCCCTTCCCATTGTCCGGTTTTCACGTGCATATGAGGCAACTGAAGAAACATCGTTTGGGTCAGGCGCACCTTAGTTGTTGTCATGGTTCGACTTATGTCCCCCCAAAAATGTGTGTATCAATTTGGCTGGGCCATGATTCCCAGTATTGTGTGGTTGTCCTCCAATTTTGTGGTTGTATTTTTATGTTAAAGAGGATTAGGGTGGGATTGTCTAACACCCTTACTAAGGTCACATCCCTGATCCAACATAAAGGGAGTTTCCCTGTGGTGTGGCCTGTACCACCTTTTATCTTACAAGAGATAAAAGGAAAGGGAAGCAAGCAGAGAATTGGGGACCTCATACCACCAAGAAAGCAGTGCCGGGAGCAGAGCGCGTCCTCTGGACCTGGGGTCCCTGCGCAGAGAAGCTCCTAGTCTGGGGGAAGATTGATGAGAAGGCCGACATAGAGAGAAAGCCTTCCCCTGGAGCTGACACCGTGAATTTGGACTCTTAGCCTACTAGACTGTGAGAAAATAAATTTCTCTTTGTTAAAGCTATCCACTTGTGGTATTTCTGTTATAGCAGCACTAGATAACTAAGACAGTTGTCAAAGTGACATCTTTGCTTTTTAATACTTTAAAGAGGTCTCCTGCAGTAGACTTTCTCAATGCAATATGTAGTTTGACTTCTTGACTGTCTATAAGCCAGTAAGAGTAACTTAACCAAAATATATTTTAAACTGTAATCCTGATTTCTCAACAGGCTACAGTGTGGCGAGCAATCCACAATCATATGGAAAAGCCATTTAAATCACCGTTTTCAGCTGAAGATTGGAACAACCTAAGTAAATGCATCTCTGGATTTAAGATAGTGGAACGTTAGTCTTCTGTCAACAAAAGTACATTTCATGACAATTGTGAAGGCAGCTTACTTAGGGCCAAGTCAATGTAGAATTATCCAGTGGTAAGCCCAAAGACAATGCCTCAAACAGGGACCCAGACATCAAATTCAAAGATGAAGTTGGGAGCAAGAGTAAATTAGTTAACATAACAAAATATATGAAAAGATTAAATTTGGAAAGATGACCCAAATCTTACATAACAAAGCTTTGAAAAGCTGTGAAACAGTAACAATGCAAACATAGTATAGTTGCAACATGGCTCACAGCTGAAAGGGTTAGAGAGTTCAAGGAGCTCTGTAGGCTAATGTCTACTAGTCAGCAATGCAAGAGGACTCCAAGGAAGATGATATACCAGTAATCTTCCATTCATCCCTAGAACCATGGCATCCAAAGTAAAGGCAGTAAACAGTCATGGTCTAATTTCTACTGGTTACATCCAACTGACTTTTAAATTTTCAGTGACATGGTTCAGAGGTTCATTAAACTAGAATTTTTCGAGTAGAAATTAAAAACTCTGAAATAACGATGGGTAAAAGAACTGGAAATGTTTACTCTGAAGAAGGAACTATTCAGAGGGTACAGAATAGATGTCTTCAACTATTCAAAAGGGCAATTATCTTGGTATCTGACTTATTTTCATGGTTCATGGGATACAAACGGAACCAACATATACATGTTATAGGGAAGTAGGGTTTTGTTTATTTCTAAAAAGCAGAATTTTCTAACTCTCTAAGTTTACCTAAAAATGGAATGAGTTCCTTCATATGATGATGAAAGTCTTACCATGAAGGTGTTCAAGTTGAAGCTAGTCAGCCCTCTGCCAATTACACCAGTGGTTGGCAAACTTTTTCTGTAAAAAGGTTTGCAAGCTAAAGGATGTCTGTCACAAATACTCGACTCAGCCATTGCAGCGTGAAAGCAGGCAACATAAAAAAAATGAGTGCTTGTGTTCCAATAAAACTTTATTTACGAAAACAAGTGAGAGGCTAGATCTGGCAGAGTGGACCATACCTTGTTAACCTTGAAAACACTGAACAAAATAATTTAGAGCCTTTGATACTACATGAGAGTTGCTCATTAAGGTCACCTATACGTAGGGTAGAAGCCCTGGTACCACAATGGTTACGTGCTCTGCTGCTAACCAACAGGTTGAAAGATCAGCAGTTCAAACCCACCAGCTGCTGCTCAGTGGGAGAAAAGAACTGGTAAATCTGCTACCGTAAAGATTACAGCCTGGAAGCCCTATGGGGCAGTTCTACTCTGTCACATGGGGTTGCCATGAGTTGGAATCAACTTGATGGCACACAACAAAACAACATATATGGGGTATAAAGGCACGGCCATATACATATATACATGTTCAATGAGTCCTGCTTTTCCCAAAATTAAGTCTAAATAAATTTATCCAAAGATACTAAAATTAAAATGTTGACTTTTCACCTTGAAATAGCAGGGCTTTAAAACATCGGTGGGGGTGAGGGGGTGGTGTGGAGAACTGAAATATCGAAGTACTAGCTTTACTAGGCATGGTGACTGGGAGAACAGCCAAGTTCCAGCACAAGGTTTATATAATGCACACATTAAACAAACCACCAACCCAACCACTCACCCCCTGAAAGCAGAGATCAGGTACCAGTCAGATTCCTTAGGGATGCAGAGAAAAAAATACCCCTACCCCCCTGCCGTTCACCATAAGGTTGGATATCCTGGGCCGCATTTCCCAAGACTGGGGGTGGGGGGGTGTAGCAGCTTTTACTGAAACCAAAAAATAAAAATAAAAAAAGACTCAGCATTGCTGTCATCATGATCTACCTTCACTCAGCTCAACCAAAATTCCCCACAGTGAGGATCTCTTGGGGTCATGCTGCTATCCCTCAATATGGAGCACCCATACTGAACTCATGCTGAGACTGTGGCTGCTCCTGTGTGTACCTGTCCTTTTCCCACCTGGACCCCAAGGGAGAAGGGGGGTTTTCATTTCATTAACAAAATAAAACATAATTTTAGCAACTAGGATGGAGGGTGGGAAACCCACTGGAACCACTTGCTTCCAAAGCAGCTGAGTCCTTGCAGGGCCTCCTCGGCCTCACTGCGGAGCCCTTGTGAGGTACTTTACATTGGAAACCATAACTGACAAACGTTTTCTTTAAGTATTCCTCAAAACCCAAACCAGTCTTCTCTGGGGTTGAATCCAGAGACGCTAAGACTATTTGCACAGGACTTATAATCTGGTGTCTACTCAGCGGCTTTATAAAAACATGGAGTGGGGAAAAAATGGCAGTTAAAGAGCCTGTTAATTCACTGCCAGTTCACTGCGGTGGTTCACGTTTCTTGCCCGGCAGGCCAGGCAACGCTCCCAATGCCCAAACCCTTGGCACCAGGCAGGCCTCTTGAGCTGGCAGAACTTGGGAAGCAGCAGAGCTCACACCGATTTATGACTTCTCTCCCAGACTTACCTTAGAAGAAGCAAGCCGGTCCAGGTTCCCAAGACCCTGAGCTAATGCAGCCCAGTCTGGATTTCCCGGAAAAGGCTAATTCAAGCTTCCAGCACCCTGAAGTGCACTGGCCAGGCTGGCATCCTCTGTAATACCCTGAGGTTGCTTCCATCCCCAGACATGCCAGGAAAGAGGCAAGGTCAGAGCAAGGGCACCTGTGCAATGCCAAAGGGTCTCAGACAAAACTGGAATTAACACGCGCTCTTCCGAGCTTTATTTTCCACACCAAAACAACATACCCACATGGTACCTTGAAGGACTAAAATACTCAGGATTGTAGGTGAGCATCTTGAACAGTCTCGTATTTTAAATATCTGATAGGACTCTTTCCAGAATATGCTTGTCCTTCCCTGCATGGACTCTAGGCTCCACATGACTATAAGCACAGCAAGGCTGAGGACCACGTCATAGTCATCATCATGACCCCAGTACCAAAAAACATAAAGGCCTAGAGTGTGTTCTCATTAGATGTATATTAAACTTACCTACTTCCTAAGTCCCCACATGCTGTTGGTGACACAGCTACACACGGTGATCCCAGCGGACTGAATGATAATCATCTTATACCCATGGTGCTTTCAATGCAAAACCACTACACAGGCAATACAAAAAATCAAAGTGAAACAATTATTCACAGTTTATCCCAAAACTGGAGCCCTGGTGGTACAGTGAGCTCAGCTGCTAACCAAAAGGTCAGCAGTTCGAATCCACCAGCTGCTCCTTGGCAACCCTATGGGGTAGTTCTACTCTGTCCAATAGGGTAGCTATGAGTCAGAATTAACTCGTCAGCAATGGATTTGTTCTTTGTTTGCTTAGTTTTTTTCCCAAAACTGGGAACATTTTCTGAGAGAGATTAAAAAAAAAGATGATAAAAATATTGGCAACAAAAATGGAAATCTTTCGATCTTAGGTTTCAAGATTAATGAGAGGCTATTAACCTGTAGCTATTTAATTTGGTGGCTAACTGATATCCCAGTATCTTGTTATTACTTTAAAATTATTTTTAATATTAATGTATTTTACACCCCAAAATGAGACTTTCCCTTTGGCTGTTCCAAGGAATTTGCCAACATCATTCTCCCCCAGGCCAAACTGTCCCGCGCACCCTTCCTGGGCAATGTGTACTTGATGTCTTTGCTCTCACAACTTCTTTACTGCACAGAAGTGGCACCTCAGCCAACCAAAAATAACGTGCACTGGTGGTACCTGGAGAGAATTTTCCAATCATAAGGCAATGTTTGTAACCAGAGCTAATGGATCAAATATTCGAACTGACTATTTTGCGTGGGGAGTTACTGTATCATACAGCAGCTATGGCTTTCTCTAAATTTACACTGTGTAAAGCATAGAAGCTTCCTTTTCTTCAAGAGAAAAATCCCCCAGTTACAAAGAAAGCATGCATTAAGGTCAGCCATGATGTTGACAAAAGCGACGATGGGTAACGTTTATGTGATGGCGTTTTCCTATGGTCCACGCACTGCTGTGAACTCCTCACATGGATTAGGTCATTTCAATCTCACAACAAACAATCCCCCCAAGGTGGGCACTAACCCATCTTATGGAGGAGAAAACAGAAGCACAGAGAAATTAAGTAACTTCAGGGCGGGTCACAGGCAGTAAGTGGCACAGACAGGATGGAACTCAACAGGCAGTCACCTGGATGCTCTTAATCCCTGCCCTACCTACCATCTCAGAGGATGCATTCAACCCTAAAATCTGCTGAGAATCTACATTTAACTCTACCAAGCTCAATACAACCCAAACGCCTCACATATAACAAAGGAGCACATTTACTACAGAATGTTGCACAACAAGGAAGTCTCTAGAAAGCTGCCCAGACCCTACACATTTTCTACCAACATCCACGCAAAGGGCAGTCCTGAGGGACAAAGAATCTGCCATATGTGCCCATCTGGTTCATCTATTAATACACCTAGGATGCAGCCTGCATTCAACGCCCCACTTAGAGGAAACTGAGCTTTATGATCGATATGTTTTCAGCCTCTAAAAATGTGACAACTACTTCCAGATTACCTGGATTTATAAAAATGCTACAGCCAAAAAAGCAGTGTATTGAGCCAGTTCCAGGGCAATGAGCTGAAGAGGCCCAGAGGTGAGTAAGGCAGCTCTGACTTACATGCCATGGAGGTGACTCCGACTGATGATGACCCCATGTGTGTCAGAGTAGCACTGTACACCAAAGGGTTTTCAACGGCTGATTTTTCAGAAGTAGACTGCCAGGCCTTTCTTCTGAGGCACCTCTGGGTGGACCTAAACCTCCAACCTTTCAGTTATCAGCTTACTGTGTTAACCATTTGTACCAAAAACACATGATATCAGATGCTGTATTTTTTCAATTTGTATGATATTATATATCACACCAGGTTTAGGGTCAGTTGTGCCCCAAAACTCTTCAGTCAATATCCTCTGGATGCTCTGGCCTGATGATGGTGTATATATATATATATATATATATATATATATACACATACACCCATCGCTATCTCTCACCTTGCTCTTACTAAGGCCACAAAGTGAGGTAGAGAATGGATGTTCCCAACCATAGCAGCAGTCCTGGCTTTCAACAACTGCCCACAAGATGGATGCCTAGGAAAAGAGATATCCCTCGGAGTCAGCTTTTCTTTTCACAATCCTGAGAACACTGTGAGAGAATTTCCATAGGAGTCTTGGTAACACCTATTAGAAGGTATTTATTTAATATTTATTCCTACACAAGCCAATTATATAGAGAGGCTGCTGTCATTTAACCAGAGCCTCAAATATTTTAGCTCCTGTCAAGAACAAAAGGGGAAGGAAGGGGTGGTATTTCCATCGCTAAGGCCCCAGCTGAAGTGGCACATGATGAGTGAGGGTTTGGGCTGGCCTGGTGCTGGTCCACCTGAGTCAGCTTAGACATTACACAGAACTTGTTGTTGTTGTTAGCTGCCATGGAGTTGGCCCCCAAACCACGGTGATTCCATGCACAACACGCTCGAATCATTGTAATCCACAGGGTTTTCACTGGCTGATTTTCAGAAGAAGATCGCCAGGCCTTTCTTCCGAGGCACCTCTGGGTGGACTGGAACTTCCAACCTTTTGGTTAAAAGACGAGCATATTAATCGTTTGCACGACCGAGGAACTTCCTACCTTCATGGCAGCTAAAATGAACGCTGCAGAGGGGCTGAATTTCCGGGGTGCTGAAGGTGATGGGGGCACTTACAAAGCACTCTTGGGAGCCTTGAATCACATACACACAAAAAGACTGCAGATAAACACACTGGCACCTTCTGGAAGGGACAGTTGAGAAGCATATTAAAATGCAGCGTGCCATTTGGAAGCAGTCTGGTCTTGTTGCTATGCCCAAACCCAGGGGCGGGCAGCACATACTTCAGGGAAAACAGTCCTAGAGAAACATTCGCTCTGTGAAAGATGAGACACATTTCATCCAAAATGACAGTCAGCTTTTTTTTTTTTTTTTTTTTTTGATTGGGGGAGAGAGGTGGAGAACAAGACCCATAAGAATTTCTTTTAACTTTTCACCTATTGAGATTGCCAACTCCGGCAGTGGAAAGTTTAAATGGGAATACCTTGAAATTAAATTTAGCCTGCCTGCCTATGAGATCCCCCAGTAGTGCTCCACTAATACCTCAAGAATTAAATCATCTACACACAACCCTTAAGTATAAAACCACCCAAAAAGAGAACATCCTGGAATAGAATGATGATTTCAAACTCCTGGCAAATAATTATCCTGTATTTCTTTAAAAATCCTTGCCAGTTCACCGTATCTTTGAACAAGTGGATTAGCAAGTATTTTCTGAGTGTCTATAATGGTCTCACTGTTGTTAGCAACTAACAATCAGATTCACACATGTGCTGTGTAAGCCCGTGTACCCCCCACCTCCTTCCTCTTCAGAGTTACTCCCCGCTTTACATAACCTGGAATGTACCGTCATCCTCCATGTTCTCAGTGCCAATTCAACACACAAACTACTGTCCTTCTCTTAAGGAGAAAAGCCCTGGGTTCCTCCACTTGTGCCCCCTAAATTCCTTGCCTTAATCCCAAACCAACCCTCAAAACACTAGCTACATATAACACTATCGGAAATGGAAGATTATCTTGCAAAATGGCAGGATAGTGCCCCAACTAGTCATATATGGCATTCCAGAACTACAGAGCGAAGCAAGACTTTTTTAAAAAATTTTCTTGAAATAAACAATAATGTAATAAATGTATGAAACATGCTATTTATTTCCTCAGAGTTCTTGCAATCCATCAAGCTATTATGCGTGAGCACTGCTTGGTTAACCCATGACTGTGGAATATAAATATATCACTGAGATCTGTACATTTTTAATTACTTTCAAGTTACTGAATCCAGCTCTTAAAAACACAAAAAGCAGCAGGAAGCCACTTTTTCATTGTATTTCAAGTCAGCTACAATTAAAAAATCATTAGCTCGGTACCAACCTAAAATGGAAACAAACAATTACCAACAGAACATTACATATTACACTGACTTGTCACTGGTGGCTCCTATCTGGGAAAACGTTATGTGTAGGGAAAGTAAGATAAAGGAACCAAAAATGCTTAGGGGGGGCTGACTCACTAAAGATCATTAACATACGAGAGAAAAATCCCAATGATGTAAACAGAATTGGTTTTAGAAATCTAAAACCATGAACTATAAGTCTTTCCCCCTTGCAGTTTATACCCAAGTATGTGTTCACAGTAATGCTCCATGTGTCTGATGGACAGCATTCTCGTAAATCATGGAACACTTGGAAGCTGATGCCAACTTGAAAGCAATCACAAAAAATCCTCCGAATTCCATGGAAGATCATTGGCAATTAAAAAAAAAAAAGTTACCTATTTTACTTAGATACAGATAGCTTAAGATTGGAATTTATGATCCTAGGATACCAGGAGAAAACAGGCAATGTATTGAATACAAACATGCATGCAAGTCCAAAGCCATTTAATTTAAGGTAAATCAGAGCCCGACATGGCAATAGATTTTGAAGCCTCAGGTTTCATAAGAATGTTCTGGGTTACCAAGAAAACGATCCATTATTTAAGAGAGCAAAGTGCTGAGAATCAGTAACAATTCAGAGAAAAAAATTAAATAGCTTGTGCTCTGAGAAGTAAGCTTCAATTACTTGGAAAATCAACTCAAGCAAAAAAAACGTCTGTTTCAATGATGCTAAAACAAAACAAAACAAAAAAAAACCTGTTGCCGTCAAGTTGATTCCGACTCATAATGACCCTACAGGACAGAGCAGAACTGCCATAGGGTTTCCAAGGAGCGGCTGGTGGATTTGAAACGACAACCTTTTGATTAGCAGCCATGCTCTTAACCACTATGCCACCAGGGCTCCTCAATGAGGCTAGACAAATAAAATGCACAGGTAGATGTCTGCATGTACAGACACTGCAGCTACAAAGGAACGCATTTTTTACATGTGAATTTATGCATATAAACGACCCTAACCATTCAAAGATTATATAAACTCGGCTCCACAAAGTTGCTATTGGTCGGTCAAAACATCACTGAAACTCGTCTTGATCCTAACAATTCTGGCTCTCTTGA